CAGAGCTTCCTCCTCTGCTATTCCGTGGAGGCAGAGCCTCGAGGCATTCCACACTACACATGTGAGACATAACACCTACTCTCCTGGCCCCTGGAAAGCCACTTTTCTCCCTACATCTCACTGCTTGACCTTTTTCCTTGTGATTCTTCTTGGTATGCTGGCTCTTCCTGGTGGTGTTCCTCACAGTTCTGTCCTTCATCAACTTTTTATCTCACATTTTATGTTCTTCATGCATAGCACTCATCTCCCACACACCAATATCCATGTGCTGATGAAACCCACGCTTCCTTGAACTTCGGATTTATGTATCTGTGCTTGTGATCTCAAGTCCTCAAGCCAACAGCTGGATCTTGAGTCTGATAAGGGAGACAACAGATACATGATTTCCAAAGAGGGGGATACAGACTATGATGTACTTGTAAAAAAGGCATATGGCAGAAGGAGAGGATGCTGAGAGCACTGTAAAGTAGGACTATAGGGGAAGAAACTTGGTGAAGGCTCTTGGAGAAGATGCCGTGTGTGTGTGTGTGTGTGTGTGTGTGTGTGTGTGTGTAGCTCTGAAAGACTGGTATGAGTTAGCCAGGCCAAGTGATTGGATGGGGTTCAAATAGATAAATGGATACATTAAAGGCTGGCATTTGCAAGGTAGGGAAGTGAAGGAGATGTTGAGTTCTAGAAACTGTAAGCGGTGTGGTCTTATTGGTGTTTCAAGGGTAGACAAGAGTTGGGAAAGATGAGGCTAAACAGGCCAAGGATGAAAAGATTTGTCTGCCATGCTATAAAGCTGGAGTTTTAATCTGGAATGTACCAATGGAGAAAATCACTGAGTATTTTAAATGGGAAAGTGATGAAAATATGTTCTTTTGACAGATCATCCTAGCAGCAAAGTAGAGACTAGACTGAGGAGATGCAAGTAGAAAAGGAGACCAATTGAGAAGCAGACATGGCAGGACTTTGGAGGAGAAATAATGAGGATTTGTACTTAGCCAGTGATAATGGAGATGCAGAGAGGACAGATTCTTCTATGCTATATAAGAATTGAGGAACTAGTGGGGGGATTTGTTTTACTTTTGTATTCTCAACCATAATAACAATATGCTTACTAGAGATGCCAAACAGCTCCAAGTAGTGACATAATGGTATACAACATTCATCTGTTCTCATGATGATCACATGGATAGACAACAAACACATAAGTAGATAGTGTAAATATAAGTGAGCATATGACGGGAATAATGTAAGGCTAGAGGGAGAGATGGAGAATGGTGGGAGGCAAAGTTTTGGAAAGGACAGTCAGGAGAGTCTGCTCTGAGGAGACAGTGTTAAAGCAGACACCCGCATGGGGTGACCATTTACTCAGGCAAAAACCTAGAAAAAAGACATTTGTGCATCAGGTGACTCCCAGGCCTCTAGTTAGGAGGACTGTTTATGTGGGACTATTTTCTAAGGCTATGAGTGAAAGAATAAATTTTTGCTACAGCAATTGAGCTCTAATGTCATTTCTACCACCTCTAGCTCTATTGTGTTGTTTCTAGGGGATATATTTTCCTGACAAAAAGAAATTATTGGGCCAGGGAGATGGCTCAGTGGAATAAGCACTTCCCTGGCAAGTGCAAGGGCCTGAGTTCAATCCCCAGTTCTGCCCCCCCCCCAAAAAAAAGAAATTATCTAGATTGAATGGGATTTACAAAACGAGAAAGTAAGAAAACAAAATATAACAATAACATTATTTCCTGTTTAAAATATTCAGTGACATTATTTATGAATTAAAATTATCTTAACTTTCTTACCACATAGGTCTTTGGTAGTTCTCAAATAAGCTGAGTGATGGTGTTTTGAAAAACATAGCTGTAGCAGTTGAAAGTATTTAAGCTCTTTTATGAAAAATGGATTTGTAAACAAGATTTTTATTTCCATGTAGTGTCAAAATCTACATTAATAATAAATGGTACAACATTGAAGAAAAGGAAAAGAGTCACATTTTCTTTTGTGAAGAGATGACAGTGCCAGGATTCCCTTTTTGCAAGTGTTAGGATCTGACTTCTAGTCCACTTGTGAATTTCTGGCTTACGTTTTAAGTGAGGTAGATATATTTTGTTTTCTTATTTTCTCCTTTTTGTAAACTCTGTTTAGTGTAGATAATTTTTTTTGGGGGGTCAGGAAAAAATATGCCCTGGAAACAGCACAATTATAGGCAATTAGAATTTTTTTTTTTTCTGGTGAGGAAATTTCAAGAGCAGGGGTGAACTAATCACACTCCCACACTCTCTCTTAATTTATTTTTATTCTTGAACACTCTTCTATTCACACAAACACATATAGACACAGATGCACATGCACACACACATATACACACACAGAGGCAATCAATCTATTGGGTTTAATGTTTATTTTCATGTTTCTTTAAAACGTATGCTTGAATGTATCTTTAATTTATGTAAAGATAGCGTAGGACATTTCACTTCTATTCTTTATAGTGTTCCATTGGTTTGGTACTTAGTAGTTATGAATGCTTAGATTATATAGAAGTGTTAATTTTCCAACTAACCAAAACATTCTGGTTTTCATTTCAAAGGGCATCGATTTTGCAATAGTGAGGATTTTATCTTTGAGAAAAATTCTGGGCTTCCTACTTCTTAGAATTTAGTTGTGGCTCTAATCATCTACAAGTCAGAAAACTGAGCTAAAAATACTCAGCAAATGGTGATCATTGATCTGATCAGACCCTAGCTATGCTTCTCAGCTACCTCCTCCCATGGGCCACCCTCTTTCTAAATCTAAAGGCTAAAGAGGTTTCTCAAGTGCAATCCAGTGATCATGTTTTTCCTGAACCATCCCAGCCACTGGAGAGTCTGCTCAAGAGTTTGAGAGTTGGGTTTCCTCCCTTCAATATCTTCCTATTTTTGCAGTTACCTATTATGAGTCTAAAGTTGGGCCGGATGAAACTGCATTTGTACGAACACATAATTGGCCAGCTGTTAAAATAGGAACCAGCATAGCTCCCAAAAAGGCAGGAAATAAAATTCTCTTGAAAAATTCCCATTTCCAAAGTGATTACCATTCTGGTTATAATTTTGTATGGAAATTTCAGCAATAGAGTTTTGTACCAAGAAGAAGATGAACATCTGTAATTAATTATGCCATGTAGACATGTTGGGCTGTTGTCACCTATAAACTAACCATTTAACCCTTTGGTAACCTGACAGCTTCTAAGAGATAAACTAAGTTACATTTATATTACAAATAGCTGTGCATCTTCCAGACAGATTATACTGGAAAGGCAATAGCATCCCTTCATAAAGGGTAGAGTCAGGTAGACTGGTTTCTGTCCCAGTGCTTAGCACCTCTATGATCATGAACACATTACTATCAACTGATTTTTAGCTTCAATTTTTCTACCTAAGAATGGGACTGAAGACACCTACCTTATAGTCTTACAAAAATTACCTAACTCATGAAATGTGCATGGTTTAAAGCTTGACACACATACTGTTTGATATGTATTAGTGCCTTTGTTTGTTTGTTTGTTTTGTAGTGTCATTTTGTTTTCTGAAACAGGGTCTTGTTATATAGTTCAGGCTGGCTTTGAATTCATTACAAAGCCCAGGCTGGTCTTGAACTTGCAGCACTCTGCTGTCTCAGCTCCCAAGTGCTGCAGTTATAGACATACACCACCACATGTGGCTTTTCCTTTCGCTTTGTTCACCTAACAACTAAGAAATACACTGAAAAGTATTAGAAAAAACAAATTAAATTTGAGGGGTTGAGGTAAGCTGTTACAGTCCTGCACTGGTTCAGGCTTTGTATTCTGCCATGTTATGCAGGATTAATAAAAGATGGCCTCATGGTCAAATCCAATAGGCTCCTAGTTTTTACAACATCTGCAAAGTAAGAATGGCTTTTATATTATTTTATTTATATTTCCAGTATTTTAGGGAAGGGTCTACAGGGTGCTCAGGGTCTCACTCCTAGATTGGACTTGTAGTGATTCTCCTGTTTTTATAGCCTCCCAAGTACTGGGATGACAGGCACATGCCACCACACCCAGTCTCGGCTTTTATGTTTTAAAATGTGTGTTAATTCATTTTTATGTACAGTAATAAATACCTGGTAGATCAACTTAAAAAGTGAATGATTTTAGCTCACCATCTTAGAGTCCGTGATTAGTTGGCCTTACGGCCAGGCAGTGCATTGACAGGGAAAGTGCACGGTAGCACAATCTATTCGTCTCACAGCAGCTGGGGAAAAAGGAAGAAGAGCTGGCTGGGGTCCAGTAGCCCCTTCAAGGATGCACCCCCAGTGATCAGCAGACTTCCTAGTAGACTTCATTTTTTTTACGTTTCCACCACCTCTCAGTAGCTCCATGGCCTGGGGAACAAAGCTTTACATCATACGTCCTCCCCTGGAGGACACATACCCAAAACACAGCATAAAGTAGGTAGATTCTTAGTCTCATTTTTACCTCTGCACTGAGCCCATTGCCTGCATCATCCCAAATTCTCAGTCTTGAAATGCATTGCTCCAAAACCAGAAAAGTTCAGCATTGATATTAAGAGAAAATGGCTCTTTGCAAGCCCACAACCCAGAATGAAGCCAAGTTGGGACAAGTGGACCAGGTAGGCATCAGTGTGTGGCCATTCAGATAGAGGACAAAGTGCTGCCAGCTGGAGACCTCAGGAAATGTCCCAAGGGAGAAGTGACATCAGGCATGTATCATCTTCATAAAATTGGGAGAGGTAAATTACATGAAAAGGATATGAAAGAATTGTACACCAAAAAATGTATGAGTAAAAGTAAGTAAGTGAGGTTGTGAAAAAAAAAAAAGGAAAGTAGAGTCTGTGGGTCAGTGAAGACTTAATCGTTATTTATATTTTCTCTAGGTAAATGGTTTTATAAGCAATTTAGAAATGAGCTTGCTAAATATAATCTATTTAGAAGTTGGAATTAGCTTTATAAAGAAAAATCTATATACATTTTTACATCTACTTTGTGTTTCCCAGGCCTGTCAGAGAGTTTGCCATGCCAAAAGGAGCAAATACTTTTTGCTACTGTGTAAAAGCAAATGTGATTATCACCGGAGGTAAGAAAAGAGTAAATGTTACAGAAGGATTTTCTGCTTTGCATACAGTACTTTCCTTGAATATTACTGCTAAGAATAACATTGTATGGAATTTTCAAAATTGTATAAATCAAATCTATCTGTTCCCTTCATTGTGGCTTCTGGAATTGATGGCATCCTTAGAAAAAGTTCCCTCAGCCCAAGGGTATGTAAATTGTCTTGTATTTTGCTATTTATTCTGTTGTCTTGTTTTACTTTTAGTTTTAATCCATCTAGAATTTATTTTTGTGTGTAAGAGCAAATGTTTCTATGTTTTAAAAGAAGAACATTTAAAATACCTATGTGCTTTTTTTTTTTTTTTTTTTGAAGCAGGGATTGAACTCAGGCCCTTGCACTTGCCAGGCATGCACTTATTCTACTGAGCTATCTCCCTGGCCCCCTGTGTACTTTTTAAATTTTGGATAGATAGTTCAAATTTTTCTCAGATACTTAACAGGAGTCCTAACCAAAATGATGAAGACCCAGTCACTTAGAGTTAATAGAAAGAAAGGTCAATGAGAAAATCCTGAAGACTGTCAATCTTCAAGAGATAACAAATGGGAAGAAATTGGGAAACAAGGTCATCTTCTGGGAGTTAGAAGAAAGTTGAGACTATAAGAAATTTCTGGAGAAGTGTAGAAAACTGAAAAGTCTTTGATATGCCAAGTCTGCCTCTATAATATTGGAGATTTGGCCAGGGATGGTGGCATATGCCTGTAATCCTAGCACTTAGGAGACTGAGGCAGGAGAATTGCCATTAAGCCCAGTGTGGGTCGCATAGGGAATTCAAGGCAAGCCTGGATCACATAGTAAGACTCTGTCTCAAAGAAATATTGGAGATTTGACATGCTCATGGATCTGAGCTTAGGCTCAAATCTACTTGCAAGTTGCATGGTAAAGAGGTTATTTTTTCTCTAAATTTTCAATCTCATCTATAAGTGAAGTTCATAATAGTACCTGCTCATAAGGTCCTTGCAAAAATTAAAGTAATTCAAATTATTACTTAGCAAGTGTCCTGCAAATTGTAAAGGCTCAATCTATGTTTGATAATACCAGAAAACATTAATGATGAAAACATTTCATATGATAGCATTTAAGATGAAATAAAGTAATGTAAACCTAGCACATAGTAGGCTCTCAATAAATACTAATCCCATCTATTTGAAATACATAAGCAAAACAACTTTGGTAGATGTTAGGGGGTTGTTGGAATAACTAAATCTGTGATTACAGTTAGAAGCTTTATGGATATCATATATGAGAGGTCTGACATTGTAGCAATTACAGAAAAAAGAAAACCAATCTCCAAAGATATTGAAAATGGTATTAAGGGTGTAGATCCATAGTAGAGGACAAGTTTATCCTGAGCAACAGGATAAATTGGGTTTGATTTCCCCAGCACAAAAAGGGAAAAGATGTTGTAACTGAATGATTCCTAAGATTTGGGCTAGAATATTATTGGATATTAGTAAAAGAGATGAACCAACTCAACATTTGTAAGGAAAGGGAAGAGCAGAAATTGTGCTGACAGTTACAAAGGAATTAGGAAGAAGAGAATTATATGGGAAATGGAGCAAACAAGAACTGTTAGGTATTGATTAATATCCAAAAAGTAAATTCCTTTTAGTGATGAGAAAAGACCTGGTTGAAGATGAGGGAGAAAAGGAGCTCCTGGGGCCCTCAAGGAGACCAGGATCACCTCAGAGGACATCAGGGACACAAAGGCTTGAAAGATGCAGATAAACAAAACAGGCACACAAACAAACAAGCATCAAGAAAGTAGGCAGTAGTGCAAATGGAAGTCTAAAGACAATGAGCAAAGAAGCTTTTTAAAAACAAGAACATCTATCAGAATATTCAGTCAATATGCCATTTGGAAGGCATTTAGAACAAAAATGCAAACACAGAAATAGAGATAAGGTGTTAAGTGAGCAAGTACTATCTGTCCCTTTCATATAAATGTTCTTTAAATTTCTTATTTCCAAACACACACAGTAGGCAGTGCTTGGATTCCTACCTAGAGTAAGCTGCTTCACCCCTGAAATCCCTACACTGCTAAGGATAAAGACAGCTGTACTCCTGCTTCAAGGATAGGTCATCTCCCCTGAAAATATAAAGCTGATTCTCTTTCCAAGCACACTATGCAGTGTCTAAATTTGTGCTCAGCCTTGGGCCTTATATACTACTTTAAAATACCTTATGTTTCAAATGTCCAACAAAAATAGCATAAAAATCTATTAGCAATACCAATAAAAACAATGTACTGGAAGCCAGGAGAAGTGGGTGTAGCCATAGCCCGACAACTAACAATCATTTGAATTCTCCCCATGGCTTATTTTCCTTATCTGGTAGAATGAGGAAATTGAACTACATTCATTTCAAGATGCGTCTGGACTTATGATTATAGTTTTCAAAGAACTGCCTGGTCATAGAGAGATAAACTGAAGAGGTCTATTGGAAAGTCTGAAACTCAGTTTTCTAATTCACTGTTAGTCCACATATAGTTATAGCTCTGTACATTCAGAAAGGCAAAGCCTTAATGACCACAGACTTTTAAAATTCAATAAAGGTAATCCAGAAAAGACAGGAAGACACATAGAGAAGAAATCCGCAAAATGGTTACATGGGAGTCATGAGTTAGACTGTGAACAAGTTTCCTGAAACTTGATGGTAATGATTCTTACAAACAGGAATCCAGGTTTCTGAGAAGTACCAGGATCATCTAAAGAGCTCCCCACTGAGGTCTCGAACACACACAGGAATAGACGCTAGAAGTAGATGTTTTCAGGAAGGAGATGTGATGCCTCTGACAGCATTCTTGATCCCCCTGACCTCTTTCAGAATCGATGATTATCTTGGCTCATAATTTTTAATAAAGAATGGCAACATTTCTTCCCTGGACTACATGTCAGAAGAAGATAGCAGGTGTTCCAGGAGATGAGAGGAGGATGCATAGTATGGTGAAGATAAAACACCAAACATGGCTGTAACTGGCACTTTTCCACTACTGTAACAAAATACCTGAGATAGTGGACTTAAGAGAAAGAAAAGCTTATCTCCACTCATTTCTATTGCTTTGGCCCTGTGGTAGCACAGTCCATCAAGGTAGGAGCACATGGCATAGAAGGGCTGTTCACTTCACGGCAGCCAGAAGGCAAAGATAAGAGATGCAGGAAGGAACGGGGTTCTAATATCACCTCCAAGAACATGCAATGTTCCAATGACCTAACTTTTTCTGAACAGGGCAGGGCCCGCCTTCTAAAGATTCTACCAAGACCTAGCACACCACACACTGGAGATCAAGCTTTTAAACACATAGATCTTTGGGGGACATTTACATTTCAAACTATAGCAATGCCCACCCAAATAATCTGTTCATACACCACTGCATACGTTTCATTAGGTAAAAATATTAGCCTTTCCTTCTGCTTCAACACAAGCCACTCACACAAAACCTTTAGAAAAAAAAAAATATATATATCTGGTCAAAGTTAATTTGATTTCTAAAATGTGATTGTCACATGATGCTGTTATATTAATCTTAACCAGCTAACCAGCTTCTCTGGAAAACCAAGAGAAAGTAAAGTTTTAAGAATACCAGTTTTGATATACTTTTTAATCTTAATATTTCAATCATTTGGGGGGGAAAGATATTTTGTAAAGTCCTTGGATTTAAAATATTCCGATGTTATGGATGAAGTCATTTGACTCATTAACCTCAGGGTTCATTATATTATGAAATCCTAACCTACGGCTTTGAAAACTTATTAATTATAAGTTTTCTAGTTTTCATGAAGGCAATCGTGCATTTAGCAGCATGACTAACAAGAAGCTAATACTTTTCACCATGCATAATTTATTAACTTGTCACAGTTATGGAGCCTCTATTAGTAGAAAATGCAAATTCTCAATAACTGAAAACACATTTTTCCCAGGAGAATACTCTTGTTGATTAGCGACTCAGCCAAGCACATTGCTAAATGTACTGTATGTACCAGCTGGTAACACACAATATACAATAGAAACCGCTTTGCTAAGCAAGCCTGAATGTGTGCAGGGACATTTTTGTGCAGCCTGAATGTGTGCAGGGACACTTATGTGAAGCCTGAATGTGTGCAGGGACATCTGATGACCCTGAAAAATCAGATTTGGCAGTGGGGAGAAAATGACAAGGTACTTGGGAAAACAAATTCATGTTTCTTGAGCATTATTTTGGTGACCATCAAGAATATTTTACTCAATACTGTCTCCAGTAATTATTTCAAGAATTCAACTCCTTATGTGAAAGGTTCAGTATATGAAAACAATTTTCTGCTACCCAAGATAACTTGGAGGCTCTGCAGGAATAGTTTTATGTTTCATTCAATGAATACTTTCTATACAGTACTATCAATGAGGCTCCATTAACCTTAAATATTTCAGGCTGTATTCCTAACCTTCAAGACTTGAAGTCTCATAGAACAAATAAGATAAGCATATGGGTAGCTGTCATATACAGTGGGAGTCAACAGATGATGAGGACCAGCATAACAACAGTAATATAGATGAAATACTGTAGGCATGGAAAGCTTGGTGTAACGTCCCTTTCTGCTCATTCCAGTTTTAAGAAGCCACCACACAGACTATATGAAAACTCCAATAACAGCAGTGGGAGCCGCCAAGGCTAGATGACATCTGCTAGTAATCAGAGAGCCTCTGCAATATTTGATGCTTGTCTTTTTGCTATTACTGGACATCCTTGGGTTTCCTTCACAATGCAAATGAACAAAGCCCTCAGTTTAGGTAACCTGGAGATGTGTCAGGTGGAAAAGTCTACGCATTGTTTTTTTCATGTGATACACAAGCTATTGGTTTTCTTCTGGGAATAGCCTAGCCTCATCTTCCAGGAGTGATAATGCCTAGGCTGTGGGGGCAGCCTCTGCCAACACTGTCCAGCAGTGTCTGTGGGCCTGAGGCTTAGGGTCCCGAGCACACCACCGCAG